TAAAGTAATCGAGTTTATCTTTGTAGCACTCACTATGACTTGACGCCTTAAAACGAAATATTAGGTGTTTAATGAGTCTTTTTTGAACACGTTCGATTCTTTCAATGTGGTTTTTGTAAGCGGGAGACCATACTTGACAACAATATTCAAGTTTGCTACGGACCAAACTGTTGTACAGTTGAAGTATTATTGTTACCTTTTTAAAATCTTTAGACTGTCTAAGAACAAATCCGAGCAACCTGAAAGAAGCAGTCACTATAAACTTATATGTTTATCGAATCTTCATTTGCTATCAAATATTACGCCCAAGTCTCTAATGAAATTAGTTTCCTTCAGCTTTTTACCCAAAATGTTGTACGAACTCATTAATGGTTTTTTTTTCTAGTGAATTTTATAAAACTACATTTATCTGGATTGAGCAGCATTCGATTTGTTTCACACCATTTTACAAGTCTATCAAGATTCGCTTGTAAGTCTATTACATCAGATTCTTGCTTTATAACTTTAGCTATTTTTAAATCGTCTGCGAACAAATAAACCTGACAATTTTTAAATACATTTACTATATCATTAATAAACAAAACAAAGAATAAAGTCATCAAGGTGTCATAACAAATTTTCAGTCTTAAGGTAATCCAATTTCTTCAGACAAGGAATTAACGTTCTTTTACATTCCAGAAATGACATGTTATAAACGTGTAGTACGTTATTTTATTTACGTTACGTTTATTTTATTATATAAATTTATTGATTTTGAACAGTATTGATTGCGTGCAAAAGTGGTTTTTGATATTTTTTGCGCCTAACACAGTATGGATTTCGTTTAGCATTGATTTTATCATCAGGAGTATTGTTCATATGAGCTTTTAGAACACATAGTAGAGTTTAAAGTTTTCTAACGGTAAGAACATTACAATCATCATATACTTTCGCGGTGCTGTATATATTTTTTTTCCTTAGTATAACTTTAAAGATCGATCTTTGAGCACGTTCAAGCTGAATTAATTTCGTTTTGTGAGTACCACCCCAAATAGGCAAACAGTAACTGATGATCGACTGCACTAAAGTTTTATATATATGAATCAGAAGTTGTCTGTCCGCAACATATCCAAGATATTTAAATAACCATATCAATTTTCTAACTGTGGATGTACAATTTTCAACTTGTCTTTGCCAATTTAATTGTTGATCTATATACATATCAAGATATTTAACGGAATAAACCTTTCCTAAAGCGCTACACCCGCAGATGAGAGAGTTTTTCCTACAAGTGTGGGCCGTTAGCTGTAGATTAGCAGGAGGTTGTAAAGAATTTTTTTTTATATAGAAGAGGGGGCAAACGAGCATGCGGCTCACCTGATGGTGACTACCGCCGCCGATGAACAACCGCAACACCAGGGGAATTGCAGATGCGTTGTCGACCTTTTCAAAAGGAGTAGGCTCTTTTCTTGAAGTTCCCTAAGTCGTATCGGTCCGGAAAAATCGCTAGTGGTAATGGATTCCACAAGGAAGTTGTGCGAAAAAAAAACTTCTTCTAAATCGCACAGTGGTGGACCGTCAATCATCCAGGTGGTATGGATGGTATCGCAAGTTTTGTCGCGATGTGCGATGGTGAAATTGAGCGGCTGAAATTAGTCCGAACAATTCCTCAGAGCACTCCCCGTGGTAAATGCGATAAAATACGCAAAGAGATGCAACATCTCTACGCAATGCCAGTGTATCGATCCGATCAGAAAGAACTCGGTCGTCGGCGATTCGAACCGCTCTGCGCTGGATGCGGTCAAGTGGAAAGAGCTGGCACTGGGGTGCTCCCGCCCAGAGATGAGAACAGTATTCCATGTGAGGCCGAACCTGCGCCTTGTAAAGTTGCAAGCGATGTGCCGGCATGAAATACTGTCGTGTTCTGCTGAGCACGCCAAGCATTTTAGAGGCCATTTTGGCCTTCCCCTCCAAGTGACCATGAAACTGCACACTATTCGATATGTCGACGCAGAGGATTCCGATGCTAGCTGAGGCAGCAAGGGGAGTGCCTTGAAACTGAGGAGATAAGACAAAGGGGTTCTTTTTAGCGGTCAACGTGCAAACTTGTGTCTTCTGGGGATTGAACTGCACTAAATTTAGTTGCCCCCAATCCGAGACTTTGGTCAGCAAAGACTCGACTTCAGACACAAGTTTGTCCCGGTACTCGGCGACGTTTTCCCGAGAAATATTGGCACGGCCGTATAAGTCATCACCAGTGCTGTCGTCTGCATAGCAATGAATGTTACTAGTGTGCAACATATCATTGATATGCAGGAGAAACAGCGTTGATGATAGCACACAGCCTTGTGGAACACCAGCGTTGATAGGCTTGAAATCAGAGCATGCACCGGCTACTACGACCTTGATGCTCCGATCAGCAAGGAAACTGGTGATCCTTTTGCACAATTTCTCGGGAAGCCCATAGGAAGGAAGCTTCGAAAGAAGCGCTTTGCGCCAGACCCGATCGAAGGCCTTCGCTATGTCCAAACTAAGGGCCAAAGAGTTTAGAATAGAGAATGTAGTGTACCAAGTTTTATTAATATTTAAAGATAACAGATTGGTTTTTAATCATTTAGTTGCTATTGGAGGCCTCTCTCCGCTCTGTTATATACATCCTGCCAGCTTTCCCCATGGAAGAGAAGAGCCGTATCATCAGCGTAGGAAATAATTGTGCCCTTTTCAATTTTTATAAGACTAAGGTCATTAATGTTGATAAGAAACATGGTAGGGCCAAGTACGCTACCCTGTGGGATACCATATAGAGATGTAGGCTCTACTGAACTGTAAGTGAGATCATCAAATGTTACCTGTTGGGCTCTGTTATTAAGGTAGTCAGTGAGAAGGGTGTGAAAAGGACCACGTATTTCAAGACGATCCAGCTTCTCTATAAGAATGAGGATAGAGATAGTGTCAAAGGCTTTTTTTAAGTCTAAAAATACACAAAGGGTTTTCATTTTGTTATAAATTTGATCGACAATTTTGCTGATCAGATAAAGGACAACATCTTATGTGTTTTTCTTCTCCCGAAAGCCAAACTGAGATGCAAAGATAATGTCATATTCATTCAGAAAATTTGCTAGACGTTTGTTTATTAGTTATTCAAAAATTTTATGTCGTCTCTATCCCCACTCTTGGGATATGATGGATTATGACACGTTTGAAAACCTGGGGAAAGACTCCTTTGGCAAAGCAGAGAGAGAACAAATAATGTAAAACAGGGATGAGATCTAATTTCAAAATTTTGGGTATTTAAAATTGAGTGATTCTTTGTAGTCATTTGTGGTCGGGGCCGATGATATTTCCTCAGCAAGTGTTTCGCCTACATTAATAGAATGGCTGATAATTAAGTTCGCCGACTCTATAGCTGAACCTGCAATATTAATCAAATCTTCATTTTTTGATTTTATCGAGTTTAAGTTTGTTATAGTTTTATGGAGTTCCATAAAAGTTTGTTATTATTTTTAGATTTAAGTAATTGTTCCCTTTCGTATGGTCGTCTTAATTTTTAAGCAAGTTGTTGCAATAGTTGCGATATCTTCTGTAGGTTATTTGTAAAACTCTGTTTGTTGAGTCCTGTTGTAGTTGTTTTTGAAGTTTGTTTCTGTTGTTGATGCATTTTAGCATACCGGGTGTAATCCAAGGTTTTAATAGTCTTTTATTGCGAAGTAAATTAATAGTTTTGGTATTTTGATATGACATTAATAACTTCCCGAGCTTAATTCTCCGGCTGATCAATTGACAAGAGTTCAGAGGTTTTATGTTCACGCAAAGTGGCAAGTGCTCCCGGATAGTTAATTTATAGATGGTTTTCATATTGTTACGCGATATCCGTTTTTTATTAGAATTAATATGAATTAGTGTCATTAGATGGTCTGTTATGGTCATTTCTAATACGGCTGTTGTGGCTGAGAGTTTAGCAGAGTCTATGTTAGCAATAACGTGGTCTATACAACTATTAACACTTGTGTTATATCTATGTCCAGGCAATAGTCCATGGTTTGAGAGCATTTCTAAGTAGTTGGTACCTACCACGGTAATCCATCGTTTCTTCCATAATGTTCATATTCATATCTATATTACAGATTATCTTAGGGTATTTTATAAAAAAATATTTTTTTTATTTTGGTAATAAACGTAATGTGTTTGGTAATAAAAGGTATCAAAAGATTTTTATCTTTTTTCGTTGAGACTGATCCGTATTTTGGATGGGCGTACGAAACGCTGCGCGCAGTATAAATCATGAAAACTTTTGAGAGAACATTCAGAACATTGAGAGTACAGCCGGAGTCGTAGTATCTATGCTTTTATATAGAAACGAACATATGTCTCGCCTGGTGTTCAGTTATTACGTCACTCGTGAACGTCTACCACACCAAATAAACTGCAGATGCGTTGCCAGCCTTTGGAAAGGAGTAGGCTTTTTTTCCAAATGAAGGATGAAGCATATTAAGTATGAAAAATCACAAACGATTTTTTTTACTAAAGCTTGTTAAGAAATTAGTTGGCTGTTTGCATTGTTTCTTACACTTTTGGGAACCGGAGTCACTAAAAAGAAAGACGTGAAAAAAGTTCACAAAGTCAATACACTATTTATGAATTAAGGCATAAAAGCACGAGTGTCATTCAGGCTATATATCTCTTTACCATAAGAAAAGTGGTGAGGAACACATCCTAAATATGCATTGGAAAAGATAAGTATACTAAATTATAGTAGCTTATGTTAAAATAAAGTAATTTATTAGTCGTAAAAGCTAGCTTGTAATATCGATATAGTACTATTTTAGAATAAACTGTGAGAATATGTTTGAATTTATGGTATTTTGTATATTCCATTCAGCCTAGGTAAAAAGAACTTTCAGTATCGGAAAATGGCAATACTGCAAGTAATCTACGCAAGTAGCGTAGATAAAATTAAAATAAGTCTCTGTCTTTGGCTAATGGCTATGACAAATGACAATTACTGAAAATGGCAGAATGATATGGTTTTGATTGGAGTGACGCTATCGAAAAAACTAAAGAGTAAATAATTATAATCACTTCGTTACTATTCTAATGGAAGTAAGACGATAACTACATACTACTGCGTTACACAAATCACTAATTATCTTTCAGGTAAGCTATCATTCATTGTAAATTATTTTAAAAATTTCATGAAATCAAAGAATTAACCGATTATGTTGCAGAAAGATAAAGTGGTTTCACATTTTCTAATGTAAGCTCTTCGCCATAGTATCGTTATAAAGTCGATGTGATCCAGTGTGGTGATGTGTGCGATCATAATACATACTATTTACTAGACGGCTTCATGCTTTTTCCCATGTTCTTGTTCGTCGTACTCTTTTACTTGATTTGTAATTTTGTAAGAACTGTTCTGTTTGAGTCTAAGACTTACTTTTTTTATACGATAAGGGTGACAAACGATCACACAGTCCACCTGATAGTAAATGTTGCTGTGGCCTATAGACATCTATATCTATCCTCGATTACGAATCAAAATGCAGATTCGTTGTCACCCGTGAGGACTAAGATGGAATGCCGTTTCCAGTAAAAAGGGTCTTTAGTTCTGTACACTCACCATATGAACTATTTTAGACTGGTATTCTGTGAGATTGTGATCCTCCCCAGGTCGAGCTGACCCATTCATGCTAAAAATATACCAGTACTGCTATATACATATGGGTTAATAATATAAAAGGCAAAGTTTTTGTGCAGTTATTTACTTATTTATGTTTAAATAATGAATATTTACATATTTGTAATTCTTTGGTAATGACATCTTGAATTAATATGAATGTTGAAACCTGTGAATGTATCATATTTCAAGCTTATGATTACATGTTAAATCAAAACGTATAATTGTTACATTAAAACATATAATTTATATATATATATTTGCATTGTGTTTTTGAGAATGATATTGTTTGCCATATTAATTCCTGTTTAATGGCACAGTAGAGCCAAAACTTTTTGGTTAAAAGCATTTTCTTAGAAGTTTTTGCTCTGCTTTAAGTTCTTGTTGTCATAGAAAATCATAAAATAGCATATTAGAGCAAAGCTATTTATTTCTTTAACAAAAGATAACATTTTACAGAATAAATTATTATTATATTATTGTTATTCTGCATTTTAAGCATTTTTTCTTTGAGCAAAAATGTTAACAACAATCAATAAGCAATGTTGGGTGTAAAGGGCTCCGCTAAGATCTTGGAGCCCAAGCCAACCCTGCCTGCACATGGCGCACCTGCTGGACATCGGAAAGGGCTCTGGTGATGCCACTCCTCTGGGATTCGTCCTAGGGGTCAGACGGCAGTCGCCCTGGTAATTGGCACTAAGCCACTCAAAAATGGACAGTAAAAGAAAGATAAATATGTTTAGGACTAGGGTGTCGCTGCATAACTACGCGCATGGGGATCGCCTTAACCCTGCGACAAGTATGCGAGGGCTACCGGGCCCCGTGTGAGCCTGGCTAAAGACGTTAGCACCAACTACGAAGATTCGCTTTGCAAACTGGAACATTGGCACGCTTACGGGACGCTCCGCAGAACTTGTGGCCATACTTGCCAGGCGTAAAGTGGCAGTGGCATTCCTGCAAAAGACACGGTGGAAGGCCAACAGGAGCCGGAATATTGGGCACGGCTTCAAGCTGATCTATACAGGCTCCTCTGGTGGAGAGAATGGTGTGGCAGTGGTGCTCGCCGAGCATTTCCACGATAGCGTCTTGGAAGTTAGACGCATATGCGACCGACTTATGGTAGTAAGGTTGCTTATTGAGGGGGTCGTGACCCACTTAATAAGTGCCTACGCCCCACAGGTCGGCTCGGAGATGTACTACGCGGCATACCGTTGTACCACAATGTCGTTTTGGGTGGCGACCTGAACGGTCATGTGGGCGAGGTGCAGGAGGAGTATGAACGTGTCAAACGCAGAGGGGGAAACCATTCTCAGAAACTGCACTGCAGCTGACCTGGCTGTGGTGAACACGTTCTTCAAAAAGAAAACCGAGCACCTGATTACCTACAGGAGCGGTCAGAACGCCACTCAAATCGACTATCTACTGACCAGGAGAAGTCATATCAGTCGCGTGGCCAACTGTAAGGTCATACCCGGTGAGTGTCTCACTGCCCAACACCGACTTCTTGTCATGGACCTCTGTGTAAAACCCCGTCGCAGACACGCCGAACGTTGCCGCCGTCAAATCAAGTGGTGGCTGCTGGATCAAACCAGATACTCAGAGTTTGACTCTGCCGCTGGAGATATTAGTCTCGACACAGCAGGCAAGTCCGTCCAAGAGTGCTGGAAAACCATTCAGACAGCAATCACAAAGATGGCAAAGCAAGTTCTCGGCGTGACGAAAGGGGGCCGCAAAATCGACAAGGAGACCTGGTGGTGGGACGCCACAGTCCAGGGTTCATTACGGGAGAAGAAAGCGCTCTTTAAGACGTGGCAAGTGACCAAATCTCCTGAAGATCGTGCATCTTACAAGACAGCGAAAAGAGCTGCCAAGAAAGCTGTAGCCAGAGCCAGGCGTGACCACTTGCAACCATTATATGCTAAGTTGGACACTCCTGAGGGGCACAAGCTTATATATAAACTGGCACGCTCTAGGGCCAAAGCAGCGCAAGATATTACTCGCTACTGCAGCGTCAACGGCCCTAATGGCGAGCTCCTGTACGATGACCGTGCGGTGAAGGAGAGATGGCGCTCTTATTTCCACGTTTTGCTGAATACTCAGCACCGGGAAGTGCACCCTCCCGAACAACTCCCAGCTATCGGACCGGACGTGGTGCCAATTGAAGCGTGGAAAGCGCTGGGGGCTCGTGGTGTGTGCATTCTTACTAACCTTTATAATAGAATCCTGAGCGACCGAATAATGCCCGATCAGTGGCGGCTTAGTATAATAACGCCGGTCCACAAGGGTAAAGGGTCCGTTCAGGATTGCGGTAATTACCGCGGTATTAAGGTGATGTCACACACCATGAAGCTCTTCGAGCGCATTATTGACACCAGGATCCGACAGGAGTGTACAGTGTCGGACTTCCAGTACGGTTTCCAACCAGGACGCGGTACCATGGACCCTATATTCGCCCTAAGGATCCTCATGGAGAAGCACAGGGAAAAGAATATGCCTCTGCCTTTTTTATTCCTAGACCTGCAGAAGGCCTTTGACTGTGTTCCTAGGTAGATGATCTGGTGGGCGTTGCGGTCAAAGTTGGTACCAGAGACCTACGTGGAAATCGTACGTGACATTTACCGCAACTCCGATTCAATAGTCAGGACCGCTGTTGGTGATTCCACCCCCTTCCCCATAACCATAGGCGTGCATCAGGGCTCCGTCTTAAGCCCCTATCTCTTCAGTGTGATATTAGACGAACTGTCAGCCAGCGTACAGAAACTACCGCAGCCTTGGCTGCTTATGTACGCTGATGATATCGCACTGGTAGATGGAGACAAAGGACGGCTCACCAGACGCGTGCACGCATGGAGGGAGGCGCTTGAGAACGGCAGGCTGAAGCTAAACGTGGCGAAGACGGATTATATGGCCTGCAACAGCACAGATCTGACGTCTCTCCGTATAGGCGACGACACCGTCGAGCGCACGGACAACTTCAGGTACCTCGTATCTGTGCTTGATGCGTCCGGTGACATCGATCGCGACATCAAGGCCCGTATATCAGCGGCTTGGGCCAAATGGCGCGAGGTGACGGGTGTCATTTGTGACCCCAAAATGCCGGTCAAGCTGAAGGGACAGGTCTATAAGACCATCATAAGGCCTGTCCTTAAGTACGGCAGTGAGGCGTGGCCGGTGCTGGAGCGACACCGGCAGTTGTTGCATGTCACGGAGATGAACATGCTGCGGTGGATGTGTGGCGTCACGCGGAAAGACCGTGTACGGAATTCATACATCCGCGGCAGCCTCCATGTCCGTGACATTGCTGACAAGCTGCAGGAAAGTCGCCTCCGCTGGTACGGCCACGTCTTACGACGACCAGTAAGCTACGTGGGAAACAAAAGCCTGGACATGACCTTACCTGGTACCAGGAGTAGAGGACGGCCCAAGAAACGCTGGCTTGATGTCGTCCAGGATGACATGCGCGCCAATGGGCTAGTTGTGAGGGACGCTGAAGACCGGGCAAAGTGGAGGAGGAAGTGTTGGAAAGCGGACCCTGGGTTCTCCCGCGCTGAGCGGGATGAGCAACCGGGATAAACGCTAGGTAGAAGAAGAAGAAGAGAATCAATAAGCAATGTTACAATTAGTTATGCCAATTAAAAAAGATCTTAATTGACAAGTTCCTTTATGTCTTATTTTTATTATCTACTTTATATTATATAGTATTACTTAAAAATTACATATTATAGTTGTATTTCAGTAAATAAAGTACAAAAATATTTTTTATTCACAAACGAAAGTAGGAAATTGTAGTAAATCATTCCTACAATGTAAGATGTTCATTTCCAACCATGGACTCTTACAGACTTATAAAAAAGAAGAATGTACTTGTATAATTATCTATATAAGTAAAATGGTAGAGGCTTGCAGTTGTGCAATCATCACAGAAAAACTACTGGATAGATTTTAATTAGGTTTTCTAAGTTTTATTTCTTAGGCACTTGGCTAAAAAACAAATTTTGCGATATCTTAATTTAATATAATGTTATTAAAGTTTTAACACATGTTATATACTATATTGATTTGTGTTTAACATGGGCATCTTAGAATACTTAAGCTCAGAAACCCAATGAGTGTATAAAAGTAAGGAAACCTTAGCCAAATTGGGCTAAGTTTGCTCATTGAGTTGTAAATATAAATTTGCTTAACAATAATTTTCATGTTTTGTTATAGACATTTCTTTATTTCAGGACGAGCCTGCATGTTATGGCAACTCCAAATAGTTACAAACAGAACTCATCAATGTCGATGCCAAGTCCACAGAGCAATCCGCGTTTGTATTCCTCCTTATTTTTTTATTAATTAGTATACTACAAAAATATTTTTTTATTAAAAAATTTGCCATGTAGTGGCAACAGAATCCACTGTGGTGTCACAAGATGTGTCCAATTGAAATGAACCAGGAGATGGGCAGCAGCACTTTCCTGATAACATTTCAAAATAATATAATTGCCAAAATTCCTGCCAAGCGTAGCAACGAAGACTTAAGTTTGGCAGTGAACTTATGATAAGCTGTAATGGATAGTGATGAATGAAGAATAAGTATGTTTTAAAGTATATTGAATAAAACATTTTTATGGATCTTATCATGTTTAATTTCAACTTATGGGAAAGATGGGAATACATCCCATCTTTCCTGGTGGACAAACATAGAGAGAAGAAAGTTGAAATTAAACATCTATCAAAATAGTTTTCTTTTATCACCTTAAGATAAGAAATCATTATAAAAAATATTCAAAGATTTTTTTAATGATGATAAACAACACTTAAACATATTTAATGCATTGTTATATTGTAGAATGTTAGTTACTAACTTATTTAACTATATTAAAGTGCTAAACTATACTCCTTGCGATGCAAGCTTAGCAGGGTTCAGTACAGTACTTGGTATTGCTGGTATCTAACCGCTGTGTTGATCCTGACAAGCATGCTGCCGTCTCTTTGCTTTTATCTCATTCAGTTTTTTGCATCTGCAACTTGTCTATTTTGATTTCTTATTAATTTTATACTTGTATATGCATTTTAGACTTACCTTGTTCTCTTTTGTTGGTTTTGTTTCATGTTATGTTATGTTGAAACAGACTACATGATTGCGGGGCCCCCAATGAGTTTCGGTATGATGAAAGGTAATAAGACAATGAAGTTTATTTACTAAGTATTATTCAAAATTCTCACACGCTCATCTGTTTCGGATCTAGGTACTCTATGGGGTTTTAAAAAATTTAATGACACAAAATTTCTTTTTCCAAATTCACACTCGTGCCATTTTACAAGTTTACTTCTATAAAATATGCAAATATCTATTCTCTGCTGAATTAGTGCCTACTAAACACTAATCGCTGTTACTGACCGCTCGCTCACACTAATACTCTCTAAACACTTAAAAAGCAATCAAGTTAGATTTAGTGCATTTATTATTTATCTTTTTTATTTATCCTCGTCCCCCTCCTGTCCTATCCCCTTATGCTTTTTGTTTTTTCTTTCATTGTATTGCCGCCCCGCTGCTTGGCTTGAAGGCGGTATGAATGCACCGCCGCACCATAACCAATACCAGTACCACCCGCAATACCAAGGTGGGCCAGTGGGCCATGGTGGCCATGGATTTGGAGCGTGGCCGCCTCCACAACAACCGCGTTTCGCTGCAGAAAGCGCAAGGAGGACCACCTCTGGAGGCGGGGGAGGCACGGCCACACAGGCCTCCAAGGATGATAAAACCAGTCCATTCATTTCGACCGTGCATTCGCATCCTGGGTTTCAACCACAGAAGATTGGAAAAGGAGCTGGTTCGGTATGTTAAGCTAGCTTTTATTTAAATGCACTCATATTTATAATGTTCCTATTTAATGTGAATGATTGTAATTTTCTTATAACCAACTCAATTTTTTTCAAATGGATATTACAAAGCAGAATGCCCACAGTCAATAACAATTACTTCACAGAAATAGACAGTTGAAATTGGAATAATAGTTGTTTGTTACATAATCTTTGATTTTAACATTAAGGGTACACTTAATTTGAGTTGGAAACCAATGAGAGCCCCATTTAAGCTTTACATCTAAAGTGATTGAAAGTAAAACTGTGGTATCACCAAGACTTCGCCATTTGAAATCACATTAGTATTTAGATGTTAAACATTTGTTGTTATACATTTTATATGCTTAGTTTTAGTGGCATTTAAAAGCAAATTATTTTCATTAAACCAATGTACTAATAGATATATAATATGATTAACTTCGTCATATTTTACTCATTGTCGTTATAGGTGTAAGGAGTCTTTTCTGCTCAGAAATCCGTCTGGGTAGGTACTACCCTCTCGCCTATATCTGTAGCCAAATAGCAGTGCTTGCACTACTGTGTTCCAGTCTAAAGATTATAGAGAGCTAGTGTAATATAACAAATTGTGAGGCATTTTATCTTAGCAGAGGTGACAACGCGTCTGTAGCCTGTTTAAAGTTGGCTACAGATGTCCATGGACTGCAGTAGCCACTTACCATCAAGTTTAACTTCAGTATTATTAAAAAAAATTGTTTGCAAAAACCAATGAAGTATCATCAGCAAATAATATCATATCATAGGTATCCCCTACTAGGTAAGGTAAGTCATTAATATTGATAAGAAATAGAAAGGGGCCTAGAATTGAGCCCTGAGGAATGCCCATTTGTACTATCGACCTGGAAGAACTCTTAACATTGACAACAATTTTGAGTTGTGTAACTTATTAAATATGAACTAGTTTATTTAAGAGCAAAATTTTAAATACGCCATAATGTTGAAGTTTCCTGTTTTAATGTCTCATGGTGAACACAATCAAAGGCTTTGGATAGGTCACGAAAATTATTGTTATCTTTTTCAGGGTTCAAGTCTCCCGAAACCACCGAAAGCGCCAGAAAAGCCATTAATGCCATACATGCGCTACTCGCGCCGAGTATGGGACAGTGTTAAGGCAGCACATCCCGATCTAAAACTATGGGAGATTGGTAGAATTATTGGTGGCATGTGGAGGGATTTACCCGAGTCAGAAAAAGCTGGATTTGTTGATGAATATGAAGCTGAAAAGGTATACAATTCTTTCCTTTTTTTCCTATTTAAATTATTTATCTTCTAAATGCACTAGACACTTCAGGTTTCTAGTTTATAAACTTAAGTTGCATTATTTATTTTATTAAAATTTTGATCCAAAATTCATTCACTTTTTAATAATAAACTTAGTACAAATATTCGCGGCGTGGTGACGTCATAAGGGAATTCCAATTTATTACACCATTGTATCTCGTGTATGTCGTTTACGTCGCGTCGTATATTGGAAATGCCACAATGTTATTGTGGTAGTGAAAACACCTCCTATATTCAATTTTATGTAAAATAGGGAACAGCATCAAAGATTCGGGTCTGGTATTACGATCGTCAATCCATCACGAACCGTGGTGATTGCAGCTAAGCCTGTAGGAGAAGCTTATATACAATAATGAACTGTTTACGAGCTAATAAGATATAGTACAAATAAGTTATAAATTGAAATTTATCAATTTGATTAAATTTTGGGCTTAGGCGCAGTACACAGAAATGATGAAAGCATACCAAAATTCACCTGCATATATTCAGTGGTTGGCTCAGAAATCTCGAGGTATTGCAATTTGAACTCTACATCCATATGCATTGGGATCAGTTTGTTTACCACGCTACTTCACCTCACTAGCTATTTTAAAAATGGGTTTAGGTTTATTTAAAAATGTGTCTTTTCTATTTTTGTTTCTTTTGTATGACATCATTTGATGTGAAAATTGGTTATTATTTGTACCTAAAATCATAATATTAAATTTTAGTGTACATAATATTCTCAAATTCTATTCCCCTTGTCAAAATCGCACAATAGTAATCTATTAATTTTTAATTACGGCAGTGAAAACTGACGATAAGGCCCTTTTTTTGCTTAGGAATCAATCTGAATTGGTACTATCCTCTTACCTGTTTTGTTGCCAATTGATAATAAAATCACTGTTGTGTTCTGTTTTAAGGAAGGGCTATGAGACATTTCATCTTAGACCTCTGCAGTGACAACACATCTGTAGGCTTCTTTGTTTAAAGTTGATTTTTTATTACAATTGGACGTAGTTAGACAAAAACATTCCAACCCAAAAGTCATTCAAAGATGAGTTAAATATACAGATCTACTTATTTTGAAATCTTCGCGAAGATGTCAAAATAAGTAGATCTGTATATTTAACTCATTTTTGATTGTCACTCCCATGACTGACTTGACATTAACTCATTTTTGAATGACTTGTGGGTTGGAACGTTTTTGTATAACTATGTCCAATTGAAGTAACAAGCGAACCAACAGCACCTAATGGTAAGTGGCTACTGCAGCCCATGGATACCTAGAACAGACTTTAAGCAGAAAGCTACAGATGTGTTGTTACCGCTGACGACTAAGATTAAATGCTTCTCCGATGGTTACAGGTGTCCATGAGCTGCATTAGCTAGCTGTCATCAGATCGACTTTTAGCTTGTTCGTAACTCCTAATATAAATTCTTTCTATTGTGAGGTTATGCTATCAATTTTCTTCTTGTTTAAAATAAGATAATAATAATTGTTTCTTTTTTCTTCATAACGTACAAATAATTTATTCGAAATAAAACACATCTTTTTATGTTTGTGATTATATTGGGATATCGAACTTTTTATTATCATTCTATTTATTTTAATATTCAATGCATCTTCATTATTTGTAATTATTTTACTTAATGACAAAATCAAATAAAATAAACTTTTACGTATTAAGAATATCAAAATTTTATTAAAATGTCACTTACTATAAAAAAAAAGCTAACATTTAAATAAAATTTAAAGTTCCAACTTTTATCATCTTATGACTATAAATTTATTTGGTTTTGTCCATAAATGTGATTGTTGAGCAACTGTGACTAACACGCACATATTTTAATGCCATTATTTGTCCTTCCACATGCACCATCACCTCATATATATTATGCACATATGGGGTATGACAATGCTTTGTTGTGGCCGCTAGTCCGAGTATGAAAAGAGTCTCAAGGCGTACCACAATTCGCCGGCTTACCTGGCCTATATTGCGGCGAAAAACAAAGCTGTAGGTAAGATATGTGCTAGCAACTTTCATCTTTATAACTATCAAACTACGCATTTTTGCATTTGTTTTTAAAACTAGCTTTTTATATAGAATAAGGGTGATAAACGAGCACAGCTCACCTCATGGTAAATAGATTAGCTTTTTTCCAGAAACACCTCATAATAATAAAAATGTAAAAGGATTTTCACCCCAGAAGACTAAGGTTGCTTTTTATCCAATATAAATAGTCCGGTTGTCTATACTCACCTTACAAAAATGCTGGTGTTCTGTGAGAGAATGATCCTCAACAGTCGACTGAATCAATTCATTCTATTAATATAGCTGCAGCTGGGCTGTGCCACCTTTTATACCATACAATCAAATTTAAACGGTTCTGTAGCAAAATGACCAAGCGTTTGGTTGCGGTGCTGTAGGACCATGGGCTCAAATTACGGTACAAGTATTTGTGTGTACCTACAAACAATTCTTCCAGGTCTGAGTGTTTGTCCATATGTAATTTATATATGCAAAATAATCTCTGAAAATTCTACTGTACTCCCTTATCTTTTCATAAAAATGTATAGACACTGTCCTATGATTATCATGCACAAATACTATGTTATAAATTTTATTTTAGTTTTTGTTTAGTAAAGCCATCTTGAATACAGGGTGTTTTTGGAACGCTCCCGAAAACTAAGACAGGCGACAACACCAAGTATACCTTTGATCATGGGTCACAAATAAATTCGATCCTGATGAAAAAAAAATCATCTTTTTACAAGGTTTTATTAGCTTTATTCACGCGCCATCATGTTAGTACAGCTAAATGAAACGATAATTTCATAAAAAATATCATGAAAATACTGAAACATAAAACCAGCAGTGGAATGACTGAATTGATATCACCTGACCTGAGCTCGATAAAGGTCAATGTACGCGCGAACACAAATTCGCGCGGCCCGCAACTAGCGGGCCTTCCAACAATACCTAATAATTTACAACACGTGTCTAAATACCTAACTTATCTACTTAACCTACTATTTTGCCACTGTGCTTATCTCCACGTAGCCACTTTAATCCGAATTTACAGGTTAAATAACCCAAATAACTGGTTCGATTCCCCGCTAATGAAGAAATACTTAAATGAAATGTAACCAAGGTTGGAGTCATGCGTTTTTATTCATCGTGTAGGTATGTTTATTATTCTCGTGTATTCAGTTATGTACCTATTCAGATTAGTCTAGTACTAAGTTATTTAAAAAAAAATAGTTATGAAACAGCTTACTGCTCTAAATCCTCCGTGGTCTTATGAGATGCGGCTCAAATTGTGCTCCATTCATTTCAAGGCAGACTTGGGTGCAGGCGGGGCATCATCGTGTGGTCTTCGACACAGTCCGTACGTAGTTTCTCGAAAGCATCCACGATCCTTTGGCGCATTTCTTCAGCACTATCACATTCACGATTAAAAACCCTTTCTTTCACATACCCCATAAAAAGAAGTCTAACGGAGTCAGATCTGGTGAGCGAGGTGGGCAAGTGTGTGGTCCTAGTCTGCCGATCCAGCGATCATCAAATAGCTCATTGAGGCGCTCACGGACGAACTTCACGAAATGTGGAGGGGCACCATCATGTTGGAACTATGTGCGGCGATATTCAGCCAACGATAGGTCGTTTAAAATGTCAACCAACTGTTCATTTATAAAGTTTAGGTATCGCTGTCCGTTCAGTCGCTCTGGCAGAAACACTGGTCCCAGTATGCGATCCTTAAATAAACCTGTCCATACGTTAACCGACCATCGGGTTTGGTGCCCGGTTTGTCGAACAGCGTGCGGGTTAACCTCTGAATACACGTGTGTATTTCTTCGGTTCCACAGGCCGTTTCTGGTAAATGTCGACTCATCCGTCCAGATAATGTGCTCAATGGAACCAGGCACACGTTGTTGCTGATATAATAACCAACGGCAGTATAATAACCACTATAAACGTACGCGTTAGGCATTATTAAAACAAAAAAGAATCCAAAAACGTAACAAAAACTTTAATATCAACACGTAATCACAAGTAAATTTATTAAACAAAACGATTGAACTGTCGCTCGGGCACGCGTGTACAAAATCAACACGAAACTGTCTCAAATTAAACTAAAACCAACGAACCCCGTCAAGGCTGAAAATTACTGCGTCACAAGCGTGAGGCGACAGGGTTAGGCATTCTGCCGTCATAAGAAAAAAGGAAGTAACTAACAAAAACGTAAAATGGAAATAAAAAATAAATTGATGAATTTTTCTTTCAGACCCCGTGTCTAAAGTATATTAAAAGGTATCTATATTGAAATATATACGTAGAGACATGAAGATTTTAAGGACGAACTTATTTTTTTTTTAAATTTGTTTATTTATTTAAATAAAACGAATTTTCCTTTTCATCTTAGCTTAAAAAATACACCTGGCAACACAAAAACATCGAAGGAAAGACGCATATAACTATTTGCGTCTTTCCAACCTAATAAATTAAAAAAAAACTGCCATTCATTTAACAATTTTACATATTTTGGAAAGGTCATTTGAAGTTGAAAGGACGCTAATAGTAATTTACTACTTTTTTTTTAATAAATATTAGAAAAGCATTGGTAGTGAGACACAAAAAATAATAATTTTAAAAAGTAATGATTTTAAAGGGGATATCATACAAGACTTACTACGATAATAATTAAAAATTAAAAATTTTGTACAACCGACTTTAATATAAATAATTAAGGATAATTCAAAAACTATTGGTCTGACCTCGATCAAATTTATATGGGACCACATGTGAAACACCAGCTCTTAACAATAAGATATAAGCTCTTAATAATAAGATATAGAATAATAAGACAAGACCAAGAATAATTGAAATTTAAGTAATCGATGCAAATATTGTTAAAGATGACGTAGCAACTGGTTAAATAAGTCTTTTCTTTTATGTTGAATTTGTATAAGTCTTTTCTACTAAAAAAAGTCATCTGTGATCAACAGTTACGTCTAAAATTCTTACGATAATTTCTAAAATATTGATATTTGTGAATATTAAAAAAATTTAGTAGATGCGCCTTCTTATCATGAATCGAATGGTATATTTAACTCATTTATTCATAAATTGTTAGATGCGCCCTTTTTTCTTACGACCGCGTGTTTCGTACCGAGCTAGATACAGGTCGATAGCGGAGGGGGTGTGGGTACAATCGCGTTCTAAAGTACTACATGGTATTGGGCTATTGTTTTATAATATTATAGTAATTAATTGTTTTAATGTAGAATCATAATAGGTGTTTTACTAGCTACTTAGAACTTTGGAAGAGGTGGGAATTAAAAATGGATAATGTTTACATGAGCATTATTTGTTATTTCTATCGTAAAATATAAAGTAGTTTGTAACAAGAAAACTTTAGCTAAGGGTAACACGCCATCCATTATGACGTCTTGGGTCACATGGAAGCCAGATGTTAATGGTGTGTTGGTGTTACTGGATGCTACTTGATCATCACTTTCATCTTCGCTTGAGCTTCCGTCATCAGGTCGATCACATGGTAATTTTTTCGGTATTCTTCCTCCACACTTTTAACTTTACTGCACAATTTTCCCCATTCACCTTCTCCTATCATATTTACCTTTTCGATCACTAGTTTAGTCATAAAACAATAGATATAAATAATTTTTCTTTCCTTCCTTTTTAAAACATCGTCGCGAGTCGCAAAGTAAGCTGTGTATGCGACTGTATTTTTGGAGCGACCAAAGCGCGGGAACCAATAGCATGCAGGCACATTAATACTGGCGGATTGTTCCCCCGTCGCGCGCCTTTCGTACCAATATGTGATAAATCGCTCAGTGCCCAAGTTCAAGGCCAGCGTTTGTTTTTCACCGTTCGCGCGTACATTAACCTCCATTAGTCAGGTGATATCAATTTAGTTTCCACTGCTGGTTTTATGTTTCAGTATTTTCATGATATTTTTTATGAAATTATCGTTTCATTTAGCTGTACTAACATGATGGCGCGTGAGTAAAGCTAATAAAACGTTGTTAAAAGATGATTTTTTTTTCATCAGGATCGACTTTATTTGTAACCCATGATCAAAGGTATACTTGGTGCTGTCGCCTGTCTTAGTTTTCGGGAGCGTTCCAAAAATACCCTGTATATCTAAAGTATATACATTTACAATCTTATCCTCTGTCAAATGAACAGTTCCATTGTATACAGATTTTCTGGCCCAAAACTTAAGTGTAACTTTGGATGTATGTGGGTATTGGTTGAAGCAATATATTCAATGTAAACATGATTATTCAATGTTGTTAACATACCTGGTATCAGCAGTAGGGAATCTGGAGGAGGAGAGCTCAAGTAAAAAGGGAAGCTCACAGAAGGAGCAACAACAGCAAGACAGAAGAATTGACATACAACCTGCTGAAGATGAAGAAGGTATAGTTTTTTTTTTTATCATTACTAAATTATTAAGTTACTAATTACTAATAGGTAGCTGGCTTGGCAGACGTTCTGCTCTTTCCGGTTTTTAATCCGCTTTCACTTCGTAAGTATTTTACTGTATAAAACAAACAGGGGTGATATTGTGTCCAGTATTTGTGATTTTTTTTTTGGCACTAAGCCAACATAATATATTGTGAATAAGAGACATTTTCGACCATCTAGAATTTGTTAAAAACTTGATAACAGTGTCACCTAACGGGTCCTAGCATAGCAAATATATTGAGTGAATATGACCCCAAAGGGCCAAGTCAGTCAGGAGTTATACAATCACTAACAGATGCACCAAACAATTATATATTAGGTGATCAATTGTTTTACCTGTTGCATAAATCGCTAAGAACTCAGCTTTTGCACCAATTTCTAGTCAGTTAATTGGTCAGTCTAGAGTACATATTTTAAGATTACACAATAAGAAAGCATTTTTTATATAGGATAAGGGTGACAAACGAGCACACAGTTCACCTGATGGTAAGTGGTCACTGTCGCCCATAGACATCTACATCTATCCTCCATTACGGATCAAAATTGTATTAATGCATTGTCACCCATGAGGACTAAGATGGAATACTTCGTTTCCAGTAAAAAGTGTCTCTGGGTCTCTACACTCACCATACGAAACACAGCAGCATAAAGCTGCTATTTTACGCTGGTATTCTGTGAGAGTGTGGTCCTTCACCGGTCAAGCCGACCCATTCGTGCTACAACTATACCAGTAATATAGCTACAGATGGCTCTACCACGTGAATAGCATAAGTCATATGTAACATAAAAGTATAAAAAATCATATAACACATGGTGGTGGATGAAGTCCTTCAATGCTGGCGGTATGTTGAAGCGTCAACGAAAATGTTAAAGTTGTCAACGAGCTATGGAGAGGTCTACGCTCGGAGTTTCTTTGCGTGATAGACTTCCAAATTAGGATATCCGCTGTAGAACCAACTTAATCACTGGCAATATAGCTTAAAGAACCGACAAACTGATGGGGAATAAAAGTTCTTGAGTGGCAGCCTCGTAGCGGTAAGCAAAGTGTAGATTGGCCCCTCACTAGACTGAAAGACGACCTAGTAAGAGGAAGTCGATGGATGCAGGAGGCTCAGCACTGTGCTCATAGGCAGGGTTGGCTATAGACGTCCGGTACTTAATTTTAATTATGTTTAATAATTTAAATTGTTTGAAAACTGGATTAAGCTTGAACCTTTTACACTGTATTTGGATGTCGGAAATGCGTTTTGAATTAATAACGATAAAAATAAATTTCAATAAATATTGCAATAACAAAACGTCAGTCAGTTTGGTCTAGTATTATGAAGTAACATCGAGTACTTGATTTTTATTATGTTTTCAGTTTAGCAGGATTGTCGGGATTAAGTTTATTACAATATTACTGTGTAAAAAGGTAAGGTTATGATTTTACAAAAAAAATATTACTCATAAACTATACATTTCCGTAACAGGGGAAGGGTACCCAGGGCTTCCCCTGGACCTCCCCCAACCCCACATCCCCCTCCCACCCCCGTGCGTGAGTACCGGGTGTCTATAGTTATACCCATAGACATACTATGTTCAGCATAGATTTGTTATGGGCTTTAATGATGATGATAATGATAATAATATTGTAAATGTAATCACTTTATAACTGTACAATTATAAACCGTAATTTAAAAATATAGGGCCTTAGGTCCTTATTGTTTTATAGTGAGTAATAAAAATAATAATTTTTATGATAAAAATAATATTATCCATCACTTATTTACACATTAACTAATTATTGATTCAGTCATAATATTGCTCTAAATAGGCATCGAAAATATATTCATCATCATTATCATTACAGTCCTTCACAAGTCCACTGCTGAACATAGGCCTCTCCCAAGGAATACCACAAAGCACGGTCCGAGCCACCAGCATCCATCGACTTCCTGCATGTCTTACCATGTCGTCACTCCATCTAATGGGGAGCACTTGAGAACCTTGCTGCCCCATCGGTTGTCGGTTCTTCGACCTATATGGCCGGTCCATTGACACTTCAGTTTACTAATCAATTGGGCTATGTCTGTTACTCTGGTTCTACTGCGGATATCCTCATTTATAAGTTTATCACGCAGAGAAATCCCAAGCATAGCCCTCTCCATAGCTCGCTGAGCGACCTTGAGCTTCCTCGTACGGCCAGCAGTGAAGGAAGGACCACGTGTCAGATCCAAATAGTCATCACTGTCAACATGCACTGGTTGTACAATCTTTTTAAGTTTTGAGGTATACCTGACGAGAAGATGTGTCCTAACCTCCCGAATACTGCCCAGCCGAGTTGAAACCGTCGGTTGATCTCTAAAAGATATTACGCAGAGTATAATGAAGAATTGTTTGTTTTCAGATCAAGATGAAGGTTTGTCTATCAAGCATGTGGCATACGCGCGTTATCTTCGCAACCACCGCTTGATCAACGAGATATTCTCCGACACCGTAGTCCCGGATGTCCGGTCGGTGGTCACCACCGCAAGAATGCAGGTAAGAATTGAAGTTGCAATTTTGTAAAAAGAACTTATAACTTAAGAAATTGTGTTAATAATTTCTCATATTAAAAACCTTTTTAAGTCATCAGAACATAAAAGCTTTTACAAAAATTTACTTCGCAAATATTTTTGTAAAAGCTTTTATATAATGGATTTCCGCAAAGTAACGCCTGATTCTATTAATTATATTCATCAGAACATTTTTTTGCCAAGAATGTGCCAAGTTGATAGCAATACTTAGAAAGTTTGTCCATATTCACTATGAACTTATCATATCTTTATGTTTTACTTGAGTTGGGATTTTATTTATTAATTCTTTTCCAAGGATTCCAAGCAGACTGTAGCACCCAGCCATCTTCTGTAGCCACATGAATAATCCCTAATAAGAATCGACGTTTTTTTGTTAGGATTTATGGTTGATTAACTCTAATGTAAGGGTGCACTCCTAAATATATTCACAGACTACTTCTCTTGAATGTTGCTCCTTGTAAAGGATAATTAAATTTTGCAAGATTTATGATTGTTATATGTAGTTTGTATTTACCACGGGGAGTGCTCTGAGGAATTGTTCAGGTTAATATATTAATAAGTGGCCATTAGTGAAAGTTTTGCAATACCTGTGAGATAATGTGATTGATTAATTCTCAGAAAAATTAAAACATTTATACAAATATGCATCTATGCAAATAGAACCTTAGGGCACATCAAATAGGATTTAGAATTGCCAAATTTTATTTATATAAAGTTCCTTTATAACATTTAAAATAATTAAAAATTAACAAATAATTGCAAAACAGTTGTATGTTAAAGGTATCAATGAGAGATGTTTCTGGTCAGATCACTTTGATAAAATCAATAGTATAATCATAAAAAAATATAATAATTGTGTTATTTAGACCACTACACCACCCACCGACCCAAAAAATAAATAGTAAAATATTTTTCATTGTAATGTTTAATTTTTTGTAGATTTTAAAGAAGCAAGTTCAATCATTGACAATGCATCAGAAGAAGCTTGAAGATGAGTTGCAGCAAATAGAGGAAAAATTTGAGGCAAAGAAAAGAAAATTCATTGAGAGCAGCGAGACTTTCCAGGAAGAACTTAAGAAGGTGACTTTTCTTTGTTTATTGATGTTCAAAAGTTTGTCAAATGTGTCTCATTTATTAACTTCCCTATGGGAAATTGTTGTTATGGATTTTACTTTTGAATTTTCTATTTTCAACACCTCGTTGACACTTTTGATTCTGCAGATAACTAAAATCAAATTTAAATATAAATTGGAATTATGTTACATTAAGAAAAATTATTTAACCCAGCATTGCAAGCCAGCAGTAGACGACGATACTTTCCAACGCATGGTAGAAAGAGCTTTGGAGCAAATGCGTCGTGGAGTGAACCCAACACAACCGCTTGCACTGAGTGTTATCGAAAGGAAGGATGAGGTGAGTACTGTAATATTCAATAGTAGTATTTTATTATGCATATCAGTAAGCTGAAGCGGCATTGGAAAAGTTTTGACGTATACCAATAAGAAAGAAAATGTCTAGAGGCATCTCATCTTCACAGTCTCCAGCATACCGCCAAGCGCATGAAGACCTACTTAGTGTGATGATTTGATGAAACCTGCGTGGAATCGATAGATGCAGGTGCAGTCTTAGGCGGACGTGATCTTAACAAACCCTCGTTCTTATAGCATAAATGTTACATGGGAACAGAAACAGAAACTTTTTTTATTCAATAAGATTATAATACTTATTGAAAGTCACTCTTTTGTATAATTACCACTGGTTCGAAAAAAAAACTTCTGTCCTGTGAAGAACCAGCAAGAAACCCAGCGGGACTTTTTTTTTTAAATAACAGCTTACAATCATGTATTTTACACGAATTAACAACACAACAAATTAGAAATAGCTTGGTAGCGGGTCAGTATCATCTATAAATTCTTTAATATTATAATAACCCTTTTTATACAAACTTAGTTTAATAAAGTTTTTGAACTTTGAGCAGGTATATTTTCTGGAATTTTGTTGTAAAAGCGTATACATCGCCCCAAGAATGAATTACTGACTCGATGGAGTCGAGTAACTGGTACTACTAGCTTGTGTCTGTTCCTAGTATTTACAGAATGAATATCACTTATTTTTGTAAAACTACTTTTATTTTTGTGTACGTACATTACATTTTCATAAATGTATTGAGAGGCCAAAGTTAATATATCAATTTCCTTAAATTTTTGTCGCAGCGACTCTTTGGGCTTTAAATCATAAATTGCTCTTATGACCCTGTTCTGTAAAATAGCAAAATACCATACGACGTTATGCTATGGAAATAGCTAAAGTAAACTAGTCTATCTGTTCCAACACTAGTTAGACTTCTAATCTTTTTTACGGCATATGCTGCAGAACTAAGTCTGCTAGTTTTGATATATGGGGGCTCCATTGAAGCTTCGCGTCTAGTGTGATTCCAAGAAAAATGGTGGTATCTACAAGACTCAGTTTCTCCCCATTTAAAATTACATTAGTATTTAATTGTTTGACATTTGGAGTCATAAATTTCATACATTTCGTTTTAGTGCCATTTAAATGCAAATTATTAACATTGAACCAATTTACTAATTTAGATATAGCATTATTTACTTCGTCATATTTTAGCAATTGTCGACTTAATTTGAAAATTAAAGTGTCATCTGCAAATAATACTATATCATGGTTATCTCCTACTATGTAAGGTAAGTCATTAATGTATACAAGAAACAGAAAGGGGCCGAGAATTGAGCCTTGAGGCACGCCCATTTGTACCATCGACCCGGAAGAACTCATACTGTTTATGAAAACTTTTTGCGTTCTCTTACTTAAATATGAAATAATTAATTTAAGAGCATCACTTCTTACACCGTAGTGTTGAAGTTTCCTGATTAATGTTTCATGGTGAACACAATCGAAGGCTTTGGATAGGTCACAAAATATACCCAAAGCATCCTGTGAATTCTCCCATGCATTAAATATATATTTAATCAGCTCAACACCGGCATCAGTTGTCGAGCGACCCCTTGTGAAACCAAATTGATTTTTATGAAGTTAATTATTTATATTAAAGAAATTTAACATTTGATCAAGAATATTTTTTTAAATCTTACTAAGTGTTGGTAGTACAGAAATAGGTCTAAAATTGGCGGGGTCTAATGTACTACCAGATTTAAATAAAGGTATTACTTTACTATACTTCATTAAATCAGGAAACACGCCAGATTCGATACTAGTATTAAAAATAATAGCTAAATGAAGCGCGATTGTATCTATTATAGACGCAATAACTTTAACGGAAATCCCCCACAGATCCGCAGTTTTCTTAACATCAATAGGTTTAAAATATTTTACAATAACTTTTGATGATACTTTATGAATGTAAAATTCTTTGTACACGCATTTACATTTTGTTTAAGTAATGATTCGGCGACGGCAGGAAAAAAATTCAGTGACTTAGTGGTTAAGTGTGGAATCAGAGGTTAGGTTAGCCATCAATTTCCCTTTATATTTTACGTCCATTTATGGTCAATTGACAACCATGAGTCAGTTGACCTTGCTGCATATCTTAACTGAGATAATATAGTATATAACATTCACTACTGAAATAAGGAGTAGAATTTAGAACAACAAACAATTGTACAAGTAAAATGATTTATTGAATAAATGAACAAATTTTCTCAGTCAATGGAACAAGACTCAAACCAAATCAAGACTGAGGCCAATGGACCAAACCCACCCACACAAGTGGACAAAGTTTCTACAACTGAAGTCAACAAGCCCGATGGGAATATTACTACGGAACTTAATAAGCCTGAAGGCGAGCTTGCAGCCAATAAGGAACAACCACCAGTTGAAACTAACAATGCTGTGCAAGAGGGAGACAGTAAGTAAAAGAATGAAAATGTTATATTGATGTTCTATTTTGCTGTGTAATGGTGGTGTAAGATAACCCACGCCCTATACCATTGATTCCCAACCAGTGGTCTGCAAGAGCTTAAATATGTATATATTTATACAATATATATTATATAGAGATTTAAATATTTTACCTACACCTAATCGTTTTAAATAACACATGTATTATTTTCTCGTCACGCAGGTAGTGCAATAAAGCGCGTCCCGTCGCAATCAAAGTCACAATTTTTTACCAAACGTGTATAATTTCTTTTGCAATAAATGCATACAATAATACTGTGAATGACTTCTTCTTTTCAGTTTATTGTTTAATTATTAATTATGTTAAAATGGCCGTATGAGGACTTAGGAATGAGGATATCCACAGTAGAACCAGAGTGACTAACATAACCCAATGGATTAGTAAGCTGAAGTGACAATGGGCCTGCCATATAGTACGAAGAACCTACAATCGATGGGGAAAAAAGGTTCTCGAGTGGCAGCCTCGTACGGGTAGGCGAAGTGTAGGCCGACCCCCCACTAGATGGAGTAACGACCTGGTAAGACATGCAGGTGTCTCAGGACCGTGCTTTGTGGCATAATTTGTGGGAGGCCTATGTTCAGCAGTGGACTTGTGAAAGGCTGTTATGATGATGATGATGTTAAATTTGTGATTGAATTTTATTGCTAGATTAACCCTTATTGGTCCCTGCTAACAACAAAGAAATCAGTGGTCCCTGCTCAAAAAAAAGTTAGAAGAAGAAAACCCTGCCCTAAACCATTCATCCCATCCCTCTGTTGCCTCCATCGATACCTACAGGATGGTATGAGTTACAGTCTATCATATATCCACTACTGAACATAGGCCCAACATTTTGCTCCATAGAGGGGATATTTCCTATTCTTGCCGCGCTTGGCAAATGGGTTGGCAAACGCAGTTTTCTTTTAATTTTTACTTGTTATTAGGAAGACGCTGCAGCTTTCCTCCTTTTTTATCTCTTTCTTTCTCTCTCTCTCGCCTATTACGACACGCAAGGAAACGATATAGGTTATTAGTTCTTACATTAGCACTACACGGTCACATCACATTGCAATGTTTGTATTGAATTTATTACATCCAGGGGCTTTCTTATACAATATTTTGAATGTTATAAATATTTTTACATTAGTGCTTTCAAGTGTTAAACTTTATATTTATTTATCACAGTCACCGTCAAAGAAGACAAACCCGTTGAATTAAAAGTGGAACCAAAAGAAACACATGGGGCTCCAACAACTCCAGGAGGTCCCCCACAGCAGCCTCAACAACATATCACATCACCTCCTCACCATGGTAAAGTTCTTTTTAGCTAAACATTAAAACCAAAGGAAAGTCGTATTTAATTTCTAAATCCAAATAAAATGTGTTTGTTTATTATTATTGCTTACTGTTAGTCCTTACATAAATTTGTAACTTTTAAATTTTTATACCCACAATGTAATATGTACACATATTTACCCAGATTTGCAAAGAAAACTTATTTTTTAATCCCCATCGCAAAAAGTTTGACCGCTATGTGTGTATGTCTGTCTGTAGCACCGTAGCTTTTAAACGGATGACTTAAAAGCAGGTTTTCTAGCGGTGATTCTTTGACATGTTTTTATCAAAAGCGGTTCAGCCGTTTGAAGATCATCAGCCTTTTTTGTTTTGGGGTTTTTTTTTAATTTTTCAATTTAAGTTATATCAAGATCCCTATTTATGAAAACAATATGGTTTCTGCTTTTTTTACTTAGCAATATATTTTACAGCAATGATGATTCCACCAAATCCCAATGCCGGACCTCATCAAGCACCACCGCATGCTGGGCCACCTCCACCACCTGGTATGTTATTATTTTTTTGTAATATAAATATTAAATTAAAAAAATCTTACGTCGAAAATGATATTTAATTTCATATTAAGTGGGTAAATATATATTGGTGCGCAAAGCCCTCTATAATTTCCTAGCACTTTTCTGTAGGCAAAGGTTTATTATTATAGAATGTTCGGTTCCAGGCGGCGGTGGCTACGGCGCCGCGTACGGCGGGCGCTACTACGGCGGCTACGGCGGCGGGTTCCCGGGCGGGTACTACTACGCGGGCGAGCACTACGCGCACCACGCGCACCACCACCACTCGCCGCACGCGCCGCACCCGCCGCCGCACGGCCCGCCGCACGCGCCGCCACACGCGCCTCCGCACCACCTCGCCAAAGGTAGCGTTGTGATCAATTCTTCTCGGATTTTTATTGCGGCACTAGCTACAAGGCTTTTAGCCAAAAAGTTAAATCTACAGACTGTCTATACGTCCCACTGCTATGCACGGGCCCTCTCTCACTTTTGAGGGTTTTAGGGCAATGAAACGACCGTAGCGCTAACCCAATGCATGTTTACACGTCTTCGAAATATTTTTTTCTTATTTCTCAGGCATGCAGGCTTCCTCACAATGTTTTCCTTCACCGCTGAAAATGTGGTAAATCAGTACTTAAAATAGAAAGTTGGGTTGCTTGCTTACTATGAAATTTACAAGCGCTTAGCCCAAGTTACCACGAAATAAAATCATAATGAATGTCGTATGTATTATATTATATGCTCGATCGAATTGCGGTCGGGGCTTGGCGCTGGTCAATTCAATCGGCGATTCCTTACCTCTGCTGCACGCGTCAACATCTACATCCGATTTGATCCTCTGTTAAAAAAAATGCATGCAAGTCCACGTGACGTGTGCGTTTACAGCAAAATTTGTAGTAAATGAAACTACTAGATGTAACACATCGTCATATAGCACTCTTGCCTTTGGGCTACTAGTTGTTCTTAAATATACAATATACAAATAAAAACCTAACTAGACTAACATAACGAAATGGTAATCGTAATTAAGGTTGACTAAATGAATATTCTATTATAGCTTTTCATAATATACATATATAAATTTTTCGTCCCATAAGTGTAAGTAAGAGGCGACTATAAGAAAGCCCAGAAAGACCTCATGACCCCTGTCATATGGCTGTGTAACCATTTCGTATATGCCAGATGTAAAACAGACCTGGAGACCCAGGAATATATGCTACTGTAACCACTAATACACTTGCCAAGTGAGTTGGAAGTTGGAAGATCATGTTCACAAAAAACTGTTTAAGTATGTTTTTAGTTACTATTAAATAAATTATTAATACAACTACATTTATTACAGCTGAGGAACCGCAACTGAAGAAAGAGGGTGAATGATTGTCACCAAAACGCGTCGTCAAACGACGTCGCAAGTCCTCCTCCAAGGACACTCAGTGACGGACATTAGTTCAGTAAAGTGTTTCGAAATTACATTTCCTTCAAAATTGAATACATTATAAGGTGCATGTACCATATTGCTTATGTGTAATAAGTGCTTTATAAAAATATAGTTTATCATTCCATTAAATATGTTCAGATAACAAATTTATAAATCATCTAATGAACATCGGTTTGAAATAAAATATGCATTTTATTTAATTAAATAATAACTGGTTATCTTTAGTAATGTCTCTTAAAATTAATGTGAACACTGTAAATATTACTTCTAAGAATACAGTTTTCTTTTTACAAATTGTGTAATTTTGTCAGTAAACAAAACATGGTCTTTGTTTTAATTATAATACTCAGATTAATTGATTCACATTGTAATACTGGACATTTCTGTTAAAAATAGTAATGATTGAAAAAAAAAAACAATATGTAGAGTTAAGGTGAGATTACGCAAAAATGGAGAAGAGTTATATTTTTCATACAAATGACAACTGGAGCCCACTTCAATCTACTTCATCTATCATTTATATGAAAAGGAAATGCGTGCTAAATAAAAGATTTTCAAATAAATGAAACAACTAAATCTAAATCTTATTTACATATATTTTAAGTCTATAATGAATCTTAATGAATATAAATAGAAGACCACAGTAATATGATATTACATCCTTATAATATGAGAAAACTACTTAGTATTTTTTTTTAAATAAACGACGCTTATCTATTATCATCTTGAATTCGGATGCTATTCGTGCCAAATTGGGCAATGATGGGTCGACCGCTTAATATGGTGCCGTTGACTTCATCCAGGGCTTTTATGGCTAAATCTTCAGCTGAAATTAGGAAATAAATAATTTTAAATAATTTGATTTTTATTACAACCAATTCCTTTCTTTATAAGGTTTATCGTTATTAAAAGAATTATAATGGCATAGTATTATTTGGGAAATCTATAAAACTGTACGTAAACTTTTTAGAGATGAGATACAATTTACTGGAGACATGAAATGAGTGCTCACTTTGGAAAGTTACAAAGGCCTGGCCTCTCATCCGTCCTGTGAGTAGACGCAAATCTATGGGACCACCATTGTCAAGTAGAAACTGGTTGAAAAGTAGTGAAAGTTGCTCCTGCGACACTGACGGTGCAATGTTCTTCAAATAAAGTACCTAAAAAGATAAAAATATTGTTAATATTTATATATTATTACTGTTACTTACTTAGTGATCAGAAAAAAGGGAGTAATTACGCCATGGGTCCTAAGTGGAGACAACATTTACTGCAAAATTACTAATTGCGGTTTTCGGATCTGGATTTATTTTATATATTTTATTGCATTAGCATAGTTGTGCACTATGTTAAAAATTATTGTCTTAAGACAGTTTTTCACGAAATCGATCAAAGGAACATTTATTCACAAAAATATACATTTAGTTTTCTAAACAAGTGGTAAAATTAAAAATTTTATGCAACTGACTTCAATATAAATTATTAAGGACAACTCAAAAATTACTGGTCAGACCTTAATCAAATTTATATGGGACCACATGAGAAACACCAGCATTAAAAAAAATAATCGAAATCGGACCGAGAAAAAAGTTATGACTAACTAACAACTACCACACATAAAAAAAACATACAGTCAAATTGAGTACCTCCTTTTTGTAGACAGTGGAAAAGGGTAAGTTTCGCTAGGCCATCATTTTTATGTAGAATAGCCAAAAATTATACTCACAATGCCAAAAAATATATCAGTACAGTGCCAAGTACTGCACAGCTTAACATTAAACTTCAGCTTGTTTTGTCATACTGTCAAAATAGCAGTAACATCACAGTATATATATAATCACAGTACTTGGCTCTGCCTTCAAACGTTCTAGTCGGAGAACTGGCTAAAACTATAACTCTACCAAATTTCAGAACTGCGTCTAATCATTTTTTTCTTATTGAAAATTTACGACTGACCGCCCACCCACGCCTTCCGCCCCAGGAGAGAGTTCTGACGGGCCTCGCTCTGTACTTTTAAGCTACCAAGGAGAGGTTATATATATAATTCGTTACTACACCTTATCAGTTCACGTTTCCATAGCCAGCTCTTAGACTATTCACTTACTCCTGCTTTATCTAGTGCCAGAGCATAAAACAGCTTCAACCATGGCAAACAAAAGATATTTGAAATTATTCATAGATAGTGACGTCGCAAGGATGAGATGAGGCTAGTTGTGGCTCCAGCCGTCAAATTTCTTGGAGTGGTTTTTTAGAACAGAATAACCGGTTCCAATTCTTAACTTTTTAAATGTTGTAAGTAAAAATCTAGAAAACAATTCTTGCTGAATAATTTCATTTAAAATGTAAGTTCGGATAAATATAAATACATAATCTGCACACACATACTTGCCAATGGTAGGAATATAAGTATAAAATACGTTAAATTGTTTTATTAATTTTTAATTAATATAAAATATAGAAAAATAATTTTCTACAATATTTGCAAAAAGAAGAGGGGAGGGTTTCTCGTCTATCGGCACTGGGCAGCTGAAACTTATTATGCCACTGTTCTTAGTAAATATGTATACTTACTTTCGAAGGTATCCCCGGCTCGTAATCTTTAAATCGTTCTATCTTTTTTATATCGTCTAGACACATTTTTGTGCCCTCCAGCAGCTGTTCCTCGGCTGGATTCACTGGCATCACAATATCAACTGCCCTGAAGTCATTCTCCTCACTGTCATTGTCGTCTTCCCTTTGCACTGATTCCAATCTCACTATTTTACTGTCCTTGATTGTGTACATTGTTGGCTTTCTTGGACCTATCATTTTATCCTTTGACGTCCCACATTCAGGTCTAACTCGGTTAGGTATTTCCTGTACATCCCACAGGCTCCCTGGCTTACTTGGGGACTGTTCTCGTGGGTATTGTACTGAATTAAGCCGTAGCTGTTTTTGTTGCATCAAAACCCTTTCTTTCTTTCTTTCTAGGCGTCGTAAAAGTTTGCGTCGCTTAGTTATTGGCATTATATTATCATTTCGCAAATGTCCAAAAAGATCCTCTTCTATCTCCTTTAATTCATTCATTGGATGACCCTCAGGGTAGAATTTAAGAGATCTTTTCTGGATTCTCTCTTGCATATCCTCATTTTTGTTTGTTGATGTACCGGCTGTTTCATTTTTTTGTTTCGAACTAAAATAGGTAAAAATGTTGAACAATCAATATATCACAGCAGTCTAAGGGAGGCGTACGTTCAGCAGTAATGGGCTATAATCATAATGATGATGATGAAATTATCAGCATTCATCATCATCCTATGGCAAGAAATGGGCTTCTCTCATGATTAAGATCTTTCTTTCGAAACAGTCGATAATCGCCACTCTTACCAGACGGATTGACGATCTGTACTAGATGTCCTGCTATTATTAATCGGTCTAGGATCTAGGTATTTTACGTCTGGGATATATGAGATAAAATAACGCCATCTATCTGAGGCCATGAGATCTTTCCGACCTTTCCCACAGTCACGTCTTACGACACCCATACGACTTAAGAGGATTATAAATTGCCGATACGCGGCGCGAGTAGGTACTTTCAAAAATGCTATCTGTTTCATAACGCACGCTCCGTATCGCCGTATCGTGCGATAGAACGAGTTGCAAGATTTGGAGGTAATTGCCCACATTTCCTTTTTGAAATATTGTTTCGGGCGATAACGTATTCACCATCCTAAACCTTTACGAAATTTGACAATTTTGGGCTCATTAGATTCAGTACACCTTAATCTTGGTCAGCACTTATTTAGTAATTCAGTTTAGTTAAATTAAAAAACAACGCTTACCTGACCTTAAATAGGGTTATAGATTCTTTCATGCAAAGATTCTTTCCAACAAACAACAAGGAATCTTAATTGTTAATATTTGTCCGGTCATGGCATACGCGCAAACACACGCACTTATGTAAGCTTTTTTTATAGAAACAAGGTTATAACGAGCACACAGTCCACCTGACGGTAAGTGGTTGCTGAGGCCCATAGTCATCTACATCTATCCTCGTTTGCTAATCAAAAAGCAGATGCGTTGTCAGCCTTGAGGACTAAGATGGAATGCTTTTTTTTCAGTAAAAGGGTCTCCGGTTCTCTACACTCACCATACGAAACACGACAGCATTACGCTGGTATTCTGTGAGAGCGTGGTCCTTACCCGGTCGAGCCGACCCATTCGCGCTACAACTATACTATAAATATAGCTGCAGCTTGGCTCTATCACGTAAAAAAAGCTATTTTAAACTTACGTTGTAGAGCCACAGAGCAGCCTAATATGGCTGCAGCATGAATGGATCGGCTTGAACAGGTTAGAATCATGCCCATAGAATACCAGGATAAAATAGCATCATAATGCTGTTATCATGCTGCTGTTTTCAATAGTAACTGACAAGTACCCGCGCCCCTCTTTCATTCCATCATTCCAAGACATTCCATCTCAAAAGGGAGGACAACGAATCTGCAATTTGATACTTAATATTAGTGTCCGACCGAAACAGGATTAACAAACAAAACAAACGAAACAGGAAACCGAAAACGAACCTTCGGTCTGGGTGTCAGTTTCGGCCGAATACCGAAACTTATTTAAACATGTTAATTATTTATTTTTATTGTATACAGAAATCTGGTATATTTTTTATACATATACAGAGATATGCATGTTAATGAAAAACAGTAATTGTAATAGTCATGTAGCAATATATTTATTTATTTTAAAGTAAAAATCAACAATTTATCGTTAAGAATTCCTTTTTTAGTTTATTTTGAAAAAAATCAACACTTACACCCATAAAACGTTACTCGCTAATTGAGACTATATTTTATTATGTTCACAATATTGTTAAAATTATTCAATGAGAGCATTAACTTTATATATCACACACACACACACACACAATATACACACAACTTAACCAAATCCCAGAAAATATACAAAACCTGATCAAGATCAAATATTTTGGCAAAATTCCGTTCAAGACAATAACTGCTCGGGGCAAGCTGAGCAACAAGGCCAAGACGACCCTTGCCACATGACTTTCTGCAACATCAGGGGACTTCACTCGAACATAAACGCCGTCCACAGCCATCTCGAGACGGCGAGGACATCAGTGTTCTCGACACTTCGGCAGTCTTGAAGGACCTGTCCATCCTTTGGCTACGCGTAGATAGCTACGACCATCCGCATGTTTACGGGTGACCCTATAGGTCCCATAGCATGCCGAAGAAGACCGATTCATCGACCACGTCCAAATGGCTACAGATTCCTTGCTACAGCAGATCCCATCCGCAGAGATCGTAATCCTCGGCGATTGTAACGCCCACCACGCCGAATGGCTCGGTTCACGTTTAACCGATCATGCGGGGAGATCTTTTCATGATTTTGCCTTGGCATATGGTCTGGTAACTTCGCCTACGCGGATTCCAGATGTGGAAGATCATGCACCTTCCCTGTTGGACCTTCTGCTGACCTCTCATTCATATAGATATCAAGTCTCCGTCCACTCCCCTCTTGGCTCCTCAGACCATTGTCTAGTCCGGAGTGTGCTGCCACTCACACTAACATCGCGATTGCATTCTGCAGGCTGGCTAACAAAGGCAACCGCTCAGACACGTCTAGCTATGCCTATCGTCATCACCTCCTTGTTCAAAATAATGGAATCCATTTAAAGTGCCAGCTCATGCGGTATCTTGAGGATCACCAGCTGATTAGTGACCGCCAATACAGTTTTCGTCGGGGTCAGTCAGTTGGTGATATTCTGGACTACCTGACTCATAGATGGGCGGCGGCATATGACTCTAAGGGGGACGCATTGGCCGTTAGTTTTGGACATTGCAAAGGTCTTCGATCGGGTTTGGCACAAAGCGCTTCTTTCGAAGCTCCCTTTCTATTGGCTACCCGAGAAATTGCGCAATTGAATCACCAGCTTTCTTACTTATCGGAGCATCTCCTCAGTTTCAAGGCACTCCCCTTATTGCCTAAGCCAGTATCGGAATCCTCGGCGTCGACATATCGAGTGACATGCAAGTTTCTTGGTCACTTGGAAGATTTGGCCTCTAAAACGCTTTGCGTGGTCAGCAGAGCGAGACAGTATTTCATGCCGGCACACCGCATGCAACTTTACAAGGCGCAAATGCGGCCTCACATGGAATACTGTTCTCATCAGCAGGCTGGGGCTCCCCAAGGCTTTATTAAAAAATATAAAGCTATTTTTGGTACCAACAATATGGCTTTCTTTAAGTTTTTTTTAAGAAATCTCTTCGTGATAAAACAATATCTAAGGGCTATTGGCAGCCACGCCGCGCCGCCGCCGCCGCTGAGGAAATTATCAGGCCACGCCGCCGCCGTGGAATTGGCCTTCGGCGCTCATATCTATTCTGTACTCGGATAGCCATTGTAGCTCTCCTGTACAAGCACTTCAGCGCCGCTCAAATTTCGACGGAATCACGGAAAGGCTTTCACATAGTCCACATACGTAAGGCAAAGTGACAGATTGTACTCTTCTGTCTTCTGTACAATTTGCCGAAAGGTGTGTATGTGGTCTATAATACTAAAGCCTTCTCTTGTTCTTCGCTTCTTCTTGAGGCTGGAAGTCGTCGAGTCTGCGTGCGAGGCGATTCGTAATGATTCTCGAAAACAGCATATAGACGCGGCTCAGAAGGGAAATCGGTCTATAGTTCTTCGCCGCACTTCTGCTCCTCGCCTCTGGAGTAGTGCCACCATGGAGGACGGAATTAAAGAGCTTCTGAAGGACTTCAAGTATCGGTTTTCCACCCGCTTTCAAAAGCTCCGCTGTAATTCCATCCTCGCCCGGGGACTTGCCGTTTTTAAGGTGCTGGAGAGCCATTCTAATCTCGCTCAGACTGACGTCCGGAATATCTTCGGAATACTGTCGGATAAGACTCGCTCTTGGATCGTTACTCACACTTGCGTGTGGCTCCAACGATGACGTGTACAGCTGCCCATAGCACCTCTCAATCTAACTCAAAATCTCAGGTGTCCCGGAAACGATGCTGCCACACTCGGTCTTTAGCTTTGACAGTTGGCTCTTTCTGGCAGACAGATCTCTGGCAAAGACTTTGGAGCCTTGGTTCCGCTCGATGGCTTCTTCAATACAAGCTGTATTGAAGTTGCGTAAGTCACGCCGCATGCATTTGGAGATCTGTTTATTCAGTTGCCTGTATGCTGTCAAACCTGTTGAAGTCTGCAGCTTTATTTCCCGTCTAACAGCCATGAGATTAAAAGTGTGATCGGAGAGTTTTGTGTTCTTCTGCGGCGGATCTTGCAGAACTTAGGTCCGACCGTATGGACAGTTTCCACGAGCTTATCATTCATATCGTCCACTTTATATCAGTCTTCTAGGCACCGAAAACGGTTTTGTAACTCGAGGTGAAAGGTTTCAGGACTTTGGAATAGAGCATGAGTGGGACGGAGCGTTGACTTCATTAGACGAGACCTCTGCAACTTAACGTTCAGGTGCAGTGTGCCTCTAACCATTCGCTGATCGCTACCAGTTTTCACCCTCGCGATCACTGAGATATCACTGAATAGTTGCCATCTGGTCGTCATAATGAAGACAATCTCATTTTTGTCGAATCGTCGGGATTCGACCAGATCCACTTCCTGTGGGGCCGCTTCTGGAAGAAAGAGTTCATCATAAAGAGTCACTCTTTCTCCATGATGTCAACCAGCTGCTGGCCCCTTGGGTTCCCTTGCCCTACTCCGAATTTCTCTACTTTCAGCTCACCGTTCTCTTTTGTGCCTAGTTTTGCGTTAAAGTCTCCCATTAACACCGTATAGTGGGTTTTGGAGGAATTTGAGGAATGTGTGCATCGGGCTGTCGTGAGGGCTCTCAACCCAATGCTGGTGACCTATTTGGAAGCCAGCTGGGACCTTTGCGAGACGGACTCAATTCTTTTTCGCACCGCACTGGCAGTTTGCCGTATTATTGGTGCCAAACTTCCCACGGCTGGACGCGCAACAGACAAAGTAGCGCTGTCCCAGCCTGGAGAATAAGAAATGAGGACCGTATCGCAAAGGCAAAAGCCCTGATCGGCAGACTGACAAGCTTCAGGTCGGGAAATAATAGACCGAGAATTGTGCGCACCGTCAGGTCAGGACGCTTTTGCTGGGATTGGGTCCCAGCAAACGTCATAAGTATATGTATGAGTTTGTTCCAGCCGGATATTACGCAAAAACTGACGGAGCGTATAGACGACCTGAAGAAGAGAATCGCTGCTCTGGGAAAGCGGAATCGGCGATATACCGAGAGGTCGTTTCAAGAGGCTCTCGACCAGAAGTTGCTCCCGAGCCTCTTCACTACTGGGATAACTCGTTTGGTTCCTAAAGACCGGGATACCATAGAGCCGAGCAAATACCGCCCCATCACGTGTCTACCCACGCGTCACGTGAACTCAGATCAGGTGATATTGCTCGCTCAAAATGGATGTCGTGGAACCAAGGAACCACTCCTCATTGACGCGGTAATTGGCAAGGTGGTTAAACGCAACCGTCGGAACCTCTCTGCCGCCTGGATAGACGACATAAAAGCATTCGACTCGGTGCCTCATACATGGCTGAAGAGAAGAGGGACCTCGAGCTGTACAAGGTTGACTGTACAGTTAAAGACTTCCTCAGGCAGTGGAGTACGACCCTTTGTGATCTAGGGAACGATGACGACTGCGGAGAACCACATAAGGATAAGAAGGAGTATCTTCCAGGGCGATTGTCTGAGTCCAATATGGTTTTGCCCCCCTCTAAACCCTCTCAGTACCTTACTGGAGGGTTCCGGGACAGGATTTCAGCTTCGGAAAGGAGGTGCAAAAGTGAAACCCACCTTTTCTTATGGATGACCTCAAGTTATTCGCTTCCATTCGCTCACATCTTGTAGAATTGCTAAACATCACTTGTGATTTTAGCAATTCTATTAGAATGGGGCTGGGGAAGGATAAGTGTGCTGTCCTCCATGTCGAAAGGGGTAGGGTTGCTAACTCTGAGGGCATAGTCTTATCTATGCCCATCAACATAAAGACCCTTTCCGAGGCTGAAACATACTGATACCTGGGTATGTCACACAACATAGATACCTATCAATAAGGCGGATATGAAACAGTCAGTTTGCGATGTGTCTTATGCACGCTTGACAAAAGTGCTCAACAGTCTTCTTTCGGGCGTGAATAAGACACACGCATATAACGGTTGAGTCATGCCTGTCCTCATATATACCTTCGGCATACTCAGGTGGACTCAGACTGAAGTGAACAATCTGGATAGAAAAGTCCGCACTGTTATGGCGTCCCACAGGATGCATCACCCGAGATCGTCAGTAATTAGGCTGTACATACCGCGGAAATATGGTAAGAGCGGCTTTTTAAGCGTTCTCATCATGCATAATCGCGAAGTGTGCAGCCTCCGTAATTACTTTCTGGGGAGATAGGATGATCCATTCTACAGGGATGAAATGACATCGTTTGATAAAGGGCTTACTTCTCTATCCTTAGCCAACGAGCAATGGCAAGACCCAGCAGTACAGTGCATTTCCGACAGGGAGACTGTATGGAAGGAGAAGGAGCTCCACGAGAGGTTCTACAAGACTCTACATAAGCCTTTCGTAGACACAGTCGCCTCCCACCACTGGATACGTTTCGATGACCTCTTTGGGGAAACCGAGGGTTTTGTCTGTGCAATACAGGATCAGATTATTAAGACCAACAATTATCGGAAATACATCGTAAAGGATGGCGCCGTCGACATCTGTGGAGCTTGTCGCCATCCCGGAGAGTCACTTAGGCATGTCATCTCCGGTTGTTCGGCACTTTCTAACTCTGAGTAATTGCACAGGCACAACCTAGTAGCCAGAATTCTACATCAGGAGCTCGCTCTGAAATACGGTCTCGTGGACCGGAAATTGTCTTATTACAAATACTTGCCGGAAGCCGTGCTCGAAAATGACCGTGCTAGGCTCTATTGGGAGATTGGGACTGGGCCATCATCACAGAGAGGACTATTCTTGCGAAAAAGCCTGATATTATTATATGGACAGGACACAGTCAAGGATATTTTTGGTCGACATTACAATTCCGTATGCCGAGAACCTTGTGAAAGCCGAAACAGACAAGCGAGAAAAATATCTAGACCTGGATCACGAGGTAACCGACACGTGGGGTGGCCTGCCGACCGAAATTATACCTGTAGTCGTTTGTGCGAACGGGTTAATCCCATCAGCCTCTCGGATCATCTAAGACAACTGGAACTCCATGACGGGCCGCTCTGGGTTCGAATGCAGAAGGCGGTGCTCCTCGATACTGCCGGCATCGTCCGCCGGTTTCTCTCCCTTTCCCCCTAACCCTCGGCCGTTTGGTCACCCCTGCCGAGGGCTTCCATCTGGTTGGCTTTTTATTTATTTACGTATACTTTGTGTATTTATTTGACTATATTAATATATTTATATATGTATATTTATCATTTCCATTTATATATTTCTGCAGCCCAGCCAGATGAGAAAACTATTTAAATACCTACCATAATAATAATAATAGTAAATAGTTGGTAACACCGAGTTTGAACGACTACGTTGTGAGGCTGTTCCCACATCGGATGAAAATGCTACAGCTGTTAATGCGGCACCACTAATTGCAGAGCAACCTGCACACGTCAATGCCGTGACTATTCCAGTTGTAGTAGATTTAGACAATGATGAAATAGTCTCCCATAAAATAGAGAAAATGAGGAGCATATTGGAGGAGGCTATTTTGGAAACACGCAGAATGCCTCTCTAAAATAGACCACGACTTCACCGTATACCGCAAGTTCCGATTGCTGGGCTCGCAAAGATCCTGCTGATACCAAGCCAGCTGATGGGGATGATGGATGTGAGGGGCTGCTGGGTGTTCGAGCAGTACCTCGTGCTCGGCTAGCGGTTCACATGCTGTCGTGTCCAGCGCCAGCTCCAAACATGCTCCAGGCAACGGCCCTTTGCACATATTCCTGAATTACATCATGCATGTAATGAACGTCAGTTAACAGGAGATGCCCAGACCCAGCACAGTTACATGGTGAGGCCATGTGCACAAGCCGGCCTTCAGTTTTGCCGAGGCACGTTGCTAACACCTCATGGCAAGGTGCTGACTGAATGCCTTGATGTAGCAGTTTTGTCACAACCATTACGTCAGCAGGCTATGGGGTCATCACTTGCCTACACCTTTATTATTATTATTATTATAATGTTGTCATAGAAGTAATTTGAAGAAGTTTTTATTGGTTGCATTCTTAATATCATTCGGGAGGGTCTAGACGTTCCAAAGATCTATTATGTAGTTTATTATTTTGATGATGATTTAAGGTGTTTAATATTATTATATTTACTAAACAAAGGCAATAATTTATTTGTTCATTTAAGATTTGCTGATTACCTTGAACTTATTACTGAAAACTAACACGTCAACTTTTCAAACTATGCTGTAATAACTAACTACTACTGAGAGTGAAATAGCAGAATATATAATTATCATTTAATAAATGAAAGCAAACAAAAATAATACTATTACAGGAAAAATTAAAATTTTGGAAAAATTAAAATTTTGGAAAAATTATGTTGATGACTTTTAGAACAATCAATAAAAACTATCAATTCATCAACTGTCAAACGTAATTTAATTTTTACACTTTTTGTTTAGAGTTGGATATAAGTTTCCATGAACCAGTATCCACTTACCATCAGGTGGATTACTGATCCTTTTGTCATTTGTTACTTTTTACATATGTATTATATTGTAATTTCATACTCGTCTACTACTTATACTTATATAAAATAGAGAAAAATTTAATCCTGACTAACCTGCCAGCAGTTTGATAGTTCTTTATTTTGTTGTATAGATCTTCCAATTTAGTTTTCAAGATGCTGGATTCAATTTTCTTGCGCTGATCTATCAAGCCCGCTTCATTTTCTTGATAAAGCTTCACTTCTTCATTAGACAAGCCTACTTTTTTAAGCCACTCTAAGTGTTGTATGTCTTTTTCTGCTTTTCTAAATTCTTGTATGGTCGATATACCATATTTTGTAAACGGTAAAACTTCTGTAGTTTTCTCAAACTCTTTGGGTAACTCAGAGCTAAAATATTCAAAACAAATAGCTGAAGCATTTGACATTTCCAATCAGAATCCCAATTTCTATTTTATTACATACTCACCACATCTTGTAAATATTATTTAAATATATGTATTTTCATCTAAAATCACAGATAACTCTTTTCATGGACCTATTTTCCATATATTATTTTTAAAAACCGATACGACGCAGTTTTACCTTTAGTTCACTTTAGTTCCATTTCCTTTTTTGCCATTTCTTGTTTTTTTATTTATTTAAAGACAGGGATCTACGCCCATACAGCCTTGTCTTTCGTCTGTTTTATTTATAAAATTCTTCATATTAAGTTAATGCGTTGCAGTTTTGGGGATATTTTTATAACAGTTTAACGCAGTGGGAAAAAAGGAGGGCTTCATTATTCATTCCAAATAATTACTTATCCTTATTTCACCTATGCAATAAGATTTTGAGTTTGGTGGTGGCTCTTATTGCAAAAGCCATTCTTTGGATCTTGTCTTAAAATCAAACCGTACGCAAGTTGTGTGAGGTGGACGTGTTGTTGGTTCGAATACCGAAATTGAAACTGACCGCACGCAGTTGCACCCTTTACGGTAGTGCAATTATCGTCTAATACGCAGTGCACTGTACATAGTGAGTTTTATATTCCTACGAAATTAGTCATACTGTATGAAGAGCAAGACATTAACTGGAATAATTGCTGCCCTTGTTTCGTACCGCATCTCGGAGTCGTCGCAGAAGGGGGCCACTACCTTACACCCGCTGCGGTAAGAGTGAGTTGCATTTTTTGGCTTTGTCTATCACGCGCTATTCGCCAGCAGTAGTCCAGCGCAGGCACACTTAATTGCAAGAAACTATATTTACTTACCTACATGATGCGTACATGTGTTGGATGCCGAGACACGGTTAGAAGCGGCGACGGGTACATTGTTTGCGCGACGTGTAAACAATATTACCACAGCTTATGCGTTAATATCTTTGATATTGAACTGAATAGGATAGCTGCAGAATTAAAAATGGATTAGCTGTGTCCGGATTGCGTCTGTAGACGGCCTCGAGGTGATAGCTCAAACACGCCGATCCGAGGATCGCCTTCGACGGCGTCAATTCCTACTAATGTGACTATGAGGCGTAGGCCAGCAGAACATCCGCAGGTGGATGAGCACATTGACTGCGCTTCTCGCTCTGAAATACGTATTATAATAAATGAAATAGTAAAGGAATACACAAGCAATATAACCAGAAAATTGAACTTAATTCACGCGGATATTAACAGCTTCAAGGAGTCCTTAACGTTTTTCAATGAGCATTTCGAGAAAATGAAAGCCGACTTAAACACTCAAACGTCCGAAGTTCGACAGTTGAAGGAAGAAAACACAAAACTCCGTGCAGAGGTCAATAGTCTTACTTCCCGTGTCATTCTAATTGACCAGATCTCCCGCTCGGCTAATCTGGAATTGCAATGTGTCCCAGTCCCAGAACATAAAAACGAAAATGTGATGAATGTTGTTCAGCAACTCGGTCGCGCTGTTAACTGCCCAGTTGGCGAAAGTGACATCTCCCACTGCAATCGTATAGCTAAGATGAACCAGCAATCATCTAGACCCCGAACTATCTTGATTCGTCTTGCCAGTCCACGTCTTCGTGATAAGTTACTGGCGGCTGCGATGGACTATAACAAGAAAAATCCAGGAAATAAATTAAATACGAGTCACTTAGGGCTTAGTGACGAGAGAAAGCCAGCGGTATACTTGGTGGAAAACCTTTCTCCAGAAAACAAAGCTCTGCCCGTTTGCGCGCCAAGGAACTGAACTACAAATTTGTGTGGGTGCGCGGAGGAAGAGTTTTCATGCGGAAGACGGAAACCTCTGAATATGTATATGTGCGTAGCATGGACATGCTGCGGAACTTAGTTATATTATACAGTTATATCGAATGTATTAGACGTAACATAAAAAAAGTTCAATAGCTTAAAATTATACTACCAAAATATTAGAGGCTTACGAAGTAAAACCTTGCAATTTTATAAGAATATGTTAGTATGTAGTTATGATGTGATTATTTTGACTGAAACGTGGCTTAATAGTTCAGTTTACGATGGTGAACTGTTTGGCGACCGCTACAATGTGTATAGAAGGGATCGTGAAACTAGTGGATTTCATAGGGGGAAAGAGGGCGGCGGGGTACTTATTGCCGTTGCAAAACATATCACCTCTTATAGACTTTCGTCCTATGAAAGCCTGTCCGAGGATGTATGGGTAGCCCTGATTTTTAAATCACCGTTCAGAACTGAAAAAATACACATTTGTTCAGTATATTTACCTCCTCCTGTACAAAAAGAAATGATAGCTGAATTTATTAATAAGTCTAATCGTAATATGGAGGCACAAACGAATACAATTATTGTGGGTGACTTCAATATGAACTCCTTAGTTTGGAACAATAACTTACCATGCAACTCGAGTATTGCGGGCACTCTTAATAGTATGTTAATAGATTTTATTAATTTAAATTACTTAAAACAGTATAATGACATCCCTAATTGTAAAAATAAAATCTTGGATCTGATATTATCTAACCTTGAGGTTGCTAAACCTACAAACGGCACATGCAGCCTTAGCGTTATAGTCCCATTACACCCAATTTTAGAGTTCTCCCTATCAATGCGATCTGACACGAAACTTAAAGATAAAAGTAGTGTACCCCAACATAATTTCTACAAGGCGGACTATGAGGGAATTGTTTCGAGTCTTATGGGTACCGTGGGACCAAGAATTTCGAGGCTGTTTAGATCTAGAAGACAAAGTTAAACGTTTCTATGACATACTGAGAGAGGTTATAACTAGTCATGTTCCATTGTGCAAACCGAAAATCACAAAATATCCTACTTGGTATTCGAAAAGTTTAATTCAACTTCTTCGTGAAAAACAAAAATATCGAATGAAATTTAAAAAATACAATAACCCTCTTGACCTGTTGTACTTACAATCCTAGAAGAAGAGGTGTGACTCTTTAATCACGTTGTCATATAAAAAACATTTATCTGACATAGAAAACTCACTCTCTAAGAATCCCAAACTGTTCTGGTCGTTCATGAAACATAAAAATCTAACAGTAGTAATATCCCCTCTATAATGCACTATGATGGCGAGACGGCTGATTCTGGAAGGGATATAGCTAATCTGTTTGCCACTTGCTTCATGTTAGCTTATAGTGTGCCCTCAACTGCTAAAATACAAGTGGTTCTCCCACCAGTGGTGACTAGCACTTATAGTATTGGGGAAATTTTATTTTCACCGCGACAAAGCCCTAAAAAACTTGATCCCGCAAGGGGTGCTGGTTCTGATGGGATACCTCCGGTGTTTCTAATTTACTGTTCAGAGTGTTTGTCATATCTGCTTTCATTGATCTTTAATGAATCATTGCGTTGAGGGGAATTTCCTACAGTTTGGAAGAGAGCCCTTATTGTGCCAGTATTTAAGTCTGGTGATGATAAACTAATAAAAAACTACAGACCAATTTCACTGCTACCAATCATTGCTAAAGTATTCGAATCACTTCTTTGTCCTATTTTATATTGGCACATTGAACATTTTATTACGGCTCGACAGTTTGGGTTCGTAAGGAATCGCTCGACTGCGTCGAACCTTGCTGAATTCGTCTCAGATATTAGTCAGTCAGTAGACAAGAATAATCAAGTTGACACTATTTACACCGACTTCAGCAAGGCTTTTGACAGAGTGGACCATGGAATTCTGCTGACAAAACTGGCAGAATATGGCTTCGGGGATGGATTGCTTAAGTGGTTTTCTTCCTATTTATCAGGTTGAGTGGCAAGTGTAGTCCTGGAAGGTTTTACTTCTGATCCACTGCCAGTTCTTTCAGGTGTACCCCAAGGTTCTCATCTTGGCCCTACCCTATTTAACATCTTCATAAATGATATAGTCTCGGTTTTAAAATACTCAAAGGTCTATCTTTTTGCAGATGACTTAAAATTTTGTAGGGAAATCAACTCAGCTACTGATGTTGTGCTTCTTCAAAAGGATGTTGATAGTCTAGCAATCTGGGTCGATCAAAACCAAATGGAACTAAATGTTGATAAATGTAATTTTATTAGATTCTCACGGCACAGGTTGCAAGCATCACCTTCCTACCACATCAATGGAAAACAACTTAAAGAGGTAGATTCTATCCGGGATCTAGGCGTTATTTTGGATAAAAAACTTCGATTTCAAAAACACATTGAAGACATAACATCTAGGGCCTTCAAAATGCTAGGTTTCGTAATTCGTAACTGTAAAGAGCTAAAACTAGCCACTAAAACTTTATTATATAACGCATATGTTCGTTCGATTTTGGAGTATTGCAGCCCGGTTTGGTCACCACACTACGAAGTATATGTTAAGCGACTAGAACACATTTCAATCCGGTCTAGCTAAGCAGTTGCCTTCGTACGTTGATAGACTTTCAAAATTCAAAATGAAAAGCTTAAAAAATAGGAGGAGATTATTAGATCATTTGTTTTTATATAAAATAGTAAGAGGTGGTCTGGATTGCCCTGGACTGTTGGAACAGGTTCGGTTTAATATACATAAAATCTCGCGAAAAGGGAAATACACACCTTTTTCTACCAAGGGATCCAAAAGCAATCTCGGCCATCACGCGATCATGAACAGGCTGCAACGACAATACAATGAACTCCAGAAAAAAACGGTCGTAGACATTTTTTCAAATAGCCTCTCTAAAGTCAAAAAGTTAGTTCTAGGTTCAAGTTTGAGTACGGAATAATTTTGGATTAGTTTAGTTTTTTAGTTTTTTTATATTTTATTACTTTTTAATAAACATTAAACACTCACATTTACAAGTCGTGGCAGCCTGTATTTGAATCTGCACTTAGCTTAAATCTTAGATAATAGCTTAAGAATTTAATGTTTTTGGTGTAAGATTTGTTGGCTGTCCTAAATAAATAAATAAAAACATTATTTTTATGTATGTGATAACAATTTATCTATTTTGTAATTAATACTTTTAACAATTGCAATGAATGAACATTCATGGACAGCAATAGGTAATCGGCGGAGCCTACGCCATTTTAGTTTCTGTTTTGGCACGCCTTATAGTCGTACCACACGATTGAAATGGTACGGTCCGTACAAGGAATGTGCACGCTGCCGTGTACATATTTTGTTCGTGTGGAAAGCAGTTTACTGACAATAATAATTATTGTTTCGTG